CACAGGCTGGATAATGTAGAGTCTGAAAGCCAAGGTCAAGTGTTTAGAAGCAGTTTGAATTTTATTCTAAGTGCAGTGGGGACGCTGCTGGGTTTTAAGTCAGGCAATGATTATACTTACGTTTATATTACATTTGTAACCGGAAGGAGCTACATCAACGGTTAATAGAGGTCTTCAAGGGGTGGTGGGGTCACGAACAATTTTTTTTAATTTGTTCCTGTGTGTTTTTCTGGAACTCCCAAACTTTTGCCATGAGAAGCAAACGCTAATTTCTATTTGAAAAAAAAAAACAAAACAGAGAGCAATTCGGGTTAATGTCAGCTGCCATTTACACGGAGCCCCAGTCAGAAGCATCTTTGTCCACGCCACGGCATTGGATTTTCGCAATAACTCTGTGAGTTACAGTCCGATCGTTTTAATTAGCGTCATTTTGGAGGTGAGAAAATTGAGGTTGGAAGGGGCAGAGATTCTGGCAGCAAATGTCAGAACTGGGACCAGAATCAAGTTTCTGTAGCCTTTGCCCAGGTTGGCTGGGTTTGCCAGGCAGCTGGGCCTCCGGGCGGGTCCGCCTTGGATGGACCCGGATACCCAGAGGCCCCAGACAGGAGTCTGCGGGATGGCTCCTCCCTGCTTGGGGGAGGGAGGGCAGGGAGGGACCCCCAGCCCCCAGCTGCAAATGGCTAGTGCCAGAGCACGCGTGCGCAGGAGGACGGGTGTGGCCCACGTGGTAGGTGCTGAGTGAGCACTGGGTAATTCATGAAATAGCTCGCTCTCTGGAAAATGCCGCTCGCGCTCAGGAGGCGGTTTAGCTGACTTTCCAGTTCGGCAGCCGGGTGATCTGAGGTTAGTGACCCTCCAAGCCCCGAGTCCTCCTCTGGACAATGGAGATGAGGTCCGCACTCACTCACCCACCTCTGTCTGTGCAGTGTGATAGCTGGGGGCCAGACTGCCTGGGTTTGAATCTGCTTCTACCCTTTTCTAGCTTATGACTCTGTGGAGCTCTTAGCCTCCTCACACCTCAGTTTTCTCATCTGTAAAGTGGGAGTAATAACACGTGTCTCCCAGGGTTGCTGTTAGGACTAAATGGATGGATAGAGTACTTGGAAGAGGTCTCGGCACGTAGTATATGCTCCTTAAATATCAGATAATCTTAGCATCAGCGGTCTAGGAGTGTTAAAAGGATGATGGGAGAGGCTCTCAGAAGTACAGAAGGACTTGGCACAGGGTGTCCGTAAGTGGGAGCTGCTGCTTCTGCCCGCCTACCACCATTCCCGCCATTATTACTGCTTCCATGGTTTTTCATAGGAAACATATAAATCCACTTTTTGTTCAGAAAGAAGATCCCCTTACCCGCCAGGAGGGTCTTTTGCCAGGCTAAATGATAGATCTCCTCTCTCACATCTCAGGAGGTTCCCGTCTGTTCAAGGTCACGTGATGAATTCCCAGGCATTTCCCAGGGTCTCTGTCTCTAACGCATTTAAGGAGCCACTTTCTAAATTTCAGGCTTGACATTTGCTGAATGACACAAACGGCGCCTTTTTGGGTGAGCAGTCTGGGGTCGTGGTACCTTCATCCCCGTTTTCAAGCTTCGATCGCTTGAGGACCACCAATAATTGTGCAATAGCTGTATACCACTGGGTCGAGTCCTTCCTCCATTATTTTCTGTTAACTTGTCTCCCCCTGAAAACTCAAAATACATTTGTTCAAAAGGGAAACATACTCATTGCCATACGTGGTAAGCCAATGTCACTTGTCACAAAGAGAAGCTACTCATAAAAAGAAATACCATGAAAATAAAGCAGTATTAGTGAATTCTAGAAGAATAGGGTGGCCCACTGAGGACCCTGGGCTCTTGAAGCCTGTCTGATTTCCATTTAAAAGGGAGATTTGGAGAGGTAAAGAACTATTCGTCCCAAAGTAAGACCATCTTCTTGGCGTACTAAGAAAGACTGAAAGAAAATTTAAAGAGGAAAAAAAATCTCTAGCCACGCTTCAGTGTTTTTATGTCTGTGTCTGTTCACCTTCTGGAATTTTCTCCTGCCCACCAGGACCCCCTCTTCGGTGTGATTCAGTTCTTTATTAATAAAAGCTAAGGGGAGAACAGCCCACCTTCTGCTTCTCACTGATTAGTTCATTTTTGGAAGATTCTTAGGTCTCTCTGAGATGAGGGAGCTGAATTAGAGAAATGTTTTTCTCTGATGATTTCCAGGCCCCCAAAGGGGGCTTGGCTGTCCAGCAATGTTTTCTCGCCTGCTGACGGAGCAGGAGTGAAATCCACCCAGAGGATGGTCTCATGGGATGGACTGGGTCCCTGGATCTCCACGAGGAGCAAAGATGTGGGATTCGCTGCACAGCCACAAACGGACTCACGTTTCCCAGGGCTGGATTCTCTGCATGTTGAGCTGAGCAGAGGGTTGGGCTTGGACTGAAAAATGAAGTAGCCCCTCTCTGCCCAGCCGAGACCCTAGGAAGAAAGGGCAAGATGACTTGCTGACTTCAGGTTTCCTCCCCACCTTCAGCAGCCCCTGCAAATGTTTCCTGTATCAGAGAGCCTGGGAGGAGTGGCCGAGGCTTCTCTCCTAAATTATTCCTTTTTTCTTGTCTCCTCCCTGCTTCTAAATCGGCCAGGATCTGCCGCACCTGTGCTATATCTAGATTCCTTAGCCTGCCATGCAAGCCCCACGCCAGCTGAGTTCCAATCTGCAATTTCCAGCCCTGGCTGCTGGGACGTCCTTCCGTGAATCCCTCTGCTCCTGGCCAGCTGCTTCCCTGGCACACGGTAGGTGTGAAGAAATGTAATTGAATGGAAGAGTATGTCTTACGCTGGGCTGCCTCTACAGAACATTTTGACATGTATTTCTTAAGTGTCAGGGACAAATGGTGCTCAAAGACTTCGTATATTCCAGGTCCTGGTAGGGTGACCAGCGCCTGGATTTGCTGGGGATTTTCCTGGTTTGGGTGCTGGAAGATCACACACCAGGAAACCTCTGGGACAGAGGCCAATCGGGACAGTTGGTCACCCTGCTGGGTTAGGTTTTACATCCTCTCTCTTCGTGGGACCTCCAGCACAGTGGGAGAGGATGACATTAAACAAATTATCCCACAAAGGAAAAAGTAATTACAAACCATGGTGAGTGCAAAGCAGCAGCCAGCCCTGGGCTGAGCGCTGTGGGTACAAAGAGGAAAAGGCACGGTCTCGGCCCTGCAGAACCTCCTGGTTGCAGCTGGGAGACAGAGAGACACGCAGCTTATTTAATATCAAGTACCCAGTGCAATGGATCTGAAATCTCCACTCTCTTTTCCCTGTTCACATTGCAACTGTTTCTATTTTAACGGAGGTTTCAAGCATCAGAAACCCACTCTGGTAAATTAAACAGATATCCATCTATCGAAAGGGCATTACAAGGAAAAGCTGAAAAACTAGGCCTTGGAAGAGACAGAAGTGATTACTTCTCAGGGAGTTGAGATGATAAAAAATATGCCAGAACCAAAGAACATGCCTTGTTCCATTTCCATTAGAAAAATTGACTCTAGCCATTCTCTGCCCTTGGGTTTCTCTGCCCCAAGTTCTAATTCCAGGAAGAAAGAATCTGATAGCCAAGCCTAGGTCTCATGCCAGCCCCTTGGCTAGACTAGGGGGGCACTGTGATTAGAAATTCACCGAAACAGTTTGCGCCAGGGTCCAGGGGTGGGGTGGTTGCCAGTGGAAACGAAACGGCCAGGATGCTGGGAAGGTGAGGACCTCAGCCACCGGCTCGCTCCTCTTTAAGAAGCGGCCCAGATGCTGCCTTTCCACGGGCTTCCTGCACACTGGTCACTGCCTTCCAAAGAGCTCTCTGCTGGCCAGAATATTCTATTATCATGGACAGCCCATGCTGACAGCTGCCTCCCTGGGCACACGCGTCTTATCCACTACCCTGTCTGCGATCACCTTGGAGCGTGTCCTTGGGCACAGCTGGTGCAATTCCTGGCACAGAGAAGAAACTCTAAAAGTGCTGCCGAGGACTTTTGAGAGAGTTCTAAGGAGCACATGGCCATGATGATCCAGCCCTCTAGCCAGACCTGTCTTCTTCCTGCTTCTCACACCCTCAGCCCGCCTTGCTGTCCCTTCCAGCCATTTGCCTGCTTTGCTGACCGCGTGGCTCAGCAGTTCTTTTTTTTTTTAAGTTATTTTATTTATTTAGGTTTTTTTTTCATAGGGGGAGATAATTAGGTTTATTTATATATTTATTTTAATGAGGGGTCCTGGGGATTGAACCCAGGACCTTGTGCATGCTAAGCAGACACTCGACCACTGAGCTCTACCCTCCCCGCTCAGCAGTTCTTAATCCAAGGCAATTTGGTCCTCCGGGGACCAATGCACCAGACGGAACCTCACAACAAAGAATTATCAGGCCCCAAACGTCTCTAGTGCCGAGGCCGAGAAGTCCAGTGGAGTGACTGAACGCCCACATCTCTGCTCAAAGGTCCTCCACGCCAGGAGACTGTCTCTGACCATCCCCCCATTTCTTTCTCTCGCACCCTCTATTGTTATTTTCTTTGTGGCATCTGATTGCCACCTAGAGTGCTTGTGTCTGGGTATTCAGTTGCTGGTCACGGGCCCATCTCCTGTATGAGAAGGTCAGCCCTCTGAGAGTGGGTCCCCATGGGCCTTGTCCCCAGCTGGTGGCCAGGCAGCACCTGGCACACCGTGCGCAGCTCAATAAAAATGTGTTGAATGAATGTTTAACAAAGGAGAGTGGCCTCAACTCCTCAAATACGGGAGGTCAGGAGGCTCGGCCGCGAAGCCCAGCTCCTCCTGGGCTGGCCGTCGTTGGGTGGGTTTGTTTATTTCCCCAGCCAGTTCAAATTCAGGCTTTGGCAAATTTCTGAAGCCTGCTGGGCCTCAGTTTCTGCATCTGTTAAGTGGAGCTAGGATTTTGAGCCCCTTCCCCGCAGAGACGTGGTGGGGATGAAATACATTAACCCTCAAAACGCTGAAGAACGTGCCTGCCTCAGAAGAGCCTCGGTAAATGTCATCTCTCATCATCATCATCGGGACGACTTGGCTGGGCTAGGCGGTGACGATGACAGACTGGGCTCTGGGGCCCTCCCAGAAGATTAGGGGATTAATGCAGTTTGCAAGGCCAAAAGCTGTCCCCACCTGGTTGTGCCAGCTCCCGCCCCATCCACGAAATAAACCAGATGAAGCCTTTATCCATCTCTTGTTTGGAGGAGGAGGCTATCAGAGACGGTGGATTACTGCCGCAGACGGAGCTGTCCTTGAATTATGAAACCAAAGGAGGAAATTAAAGTGCTCCACAGCAACAGATACGGGCCAGCCGGGGCAGAGGGCGGGGGGTGGGGCACAAAGGAGGGAGCAGGGCGTGTCTTATCACCTCAACGATGGCTATTCTGGAGGGTCGCTGGAGTTCTACAATAATATAATTTTACAGCCTAAAATAATTTAGGCTACCCCCCTTCATTTTATACAAGCAAATGAGGCCCAGAGAGGGAAAGTGACCCCCAGGGTCACACAGCCAGTTTGTGGCAGAACAACCCACACCTCTTGTTTTATTGAACAGGGTTATTTTTGCTGCCCCAGGCCAAGCCTCTGTTCCAGAGCCTCCTGCCTTTGGGCCCATCTGCTCTGCAAAGAACTCTTTGGGAAATGCTCCCAGTGTCTCTTCCTAGCACATCAGGGGGAGTATGAGCCAGCGCCCTGGAGCCATTCTGGCTGGGTCTTAGAACCTCAGTTTGCTTATCTGTAAAATGGGAATAATAGGCCCTACCTCACAGGGTCACTGTGAGAATTTGATGAGCTACTGTCATATAAAGTCGTTAGCCCTGGGCTTAGCACATAGTAAATGCTCCATAAAATGTTAGTTCTTATTATGGCCCCGGGGTTGACTTTAGAATCTAATGGTCCCCAGGCTGTGAGCCCCTCTGTGGGCAGAGGCAGTGACCATCTTTGGGACATCTTTTGTCCTCTGTGCCTTGCCTGGCAATTGACACCTGCCAGGGGCTCGGTAAATGGTAGTGGTGGATGGCTGGCCCCCTGAGGGGCACCCATTTCTCAGCCGGCACCATGAAGCACCAGGAAATGCTGCCAGCAACGCATGTGACTTTTGTCACTAGTTTAGACTTTAATCCTGAGTGGATAAAGAACCCTCCTGTCCAGCGGTGAGCCTGCCTCGTGATGGGGACGCTGTTTGTTTTCCCAGCCTTCCTCAGCAGCACAGAGCCTGCTCCCAACTAGCTGTGGGCTATTTGCATATAAATTGGTTTTCTCTCATTATAGAAATCTCTTAGGTCAGCTGGAGTTTCCATTTTCCTCCGCATCAGTCTGGACGCTCCATTTCTTGCTCGAGGGTCCCTCACGCCTTCCTCCCTCTTGCTGACAGCGAGGCGTGGTCACGTGTTCTCATCCTGGAGACGGGACAGCCTGAAAAGTCCCCCAAACACCAGGCAAGCTGGGACTGTTTCTCCCAGAAGAAGGTGGGGACAGGGGGAGCGGGGCCGGAGGACTCTGGTCCCTGGAATGGCAGGAAGGAGACCCTAGGATGGTTCAGCTTCAGGATCTGGGCCTCTTTTTCTCATTTATTCAAAAACCATCAATTTACTCAGCATGATGTTGGGTGCTGGGAGTGCAGAGATGGATGAGACACACGTACTGCCTTCCAGGAGCTCCCTGTCTAGGAAAGGAGAGAGAAAAGCAAAATAATACCAAACAAAAATCATAATATAGTCAAACAACTGCCTTAAAGAGGATCAGAATGGATTCCAGCCAGAGAACAGGCTTTCAGATAGCGCTCATCCTAAACCACGGTCACACGCATGTGCACACGTGCATGCGCACACTAGCTAACATGCTTGTAGCACTCGCCACGTGGCCAGGCACCTTCCTAAGTAGATAATATATACATCAAATATATATATGTATATATACAGTCCTTTCACTATGCTTCGCTTTTTTGTGCTTTGCAGATACTGTGGTTTTTACAAATTGAAAGTTTGTGACAACCCTGCATCGAGCAGATCTATTGGGACCATTCTTCCAACAGCATCGTTTTAAAATTAAGGCATGTACCTTGTTCTCTTAGACACAATGCTATCGCGCCCTTAATAGACTACAGTATAGTATAACTTGTAAGTATAAAACTTTTAACTTACATAACATATAATATATATAACATATGTATCTTATATAACTTAAAAGTATATAACTTGTAACTTATATAACATAACTTATAGGCACTGAGACACCAAAAAGACTTGTGTGACTTGCTTTACTGCAATATTTGCTTTATTGTGTTGATCTGGAACCAAATCTATCATGTCTCCAAGGTGTGCCTGTACATTCATACATACATATAGATATATTTATACATAATATATACATATTCGTTTATTAATACATTACTTTAATCTTCATGGCAAGCCGTAATGGAAATGCTATCTTTATCATTGTTTTCCAGATGAGGGAACTGAGGGGCCGAAAGATGGTATCACTGGACCAAGGTCATTGCTAGTAAGCCTCAGAGCTAGACTTGAACCCGGGCTGCGCTGTTCATCCTATGTTATAGCCACACTTGACACACAGTGATGCACTTCTGTGTTTTCTAGTCTAGTTCTTCTTTCCGAAAGTGCTGGTTAAGACCCCTGCCCTGCTATGCTGACCCATCCATGGGCTGGACTATAGACGGAGTGCCCAAGTGTGCCTGGGAGAATCCAGGAGAGAGAAACAGGGAGGAGATGCTAGCAATGGACCTGAAAGATGACTTAAGAATTTTCCGGACAGGTAAGAGGAAGAGCAGAGTATTTCACAAAGGACAAGCTGTGCCAATTCCCAAAGCATGAGAAAGTATAGAAGTCTCGGTCTAGGGGGCCTCAACTACATGACAGTGCTCAAGTGTGGTACAGGCTGAGCAGGTGGTGAGATATGGGGCGGGGAGGCTGGCCAAGACTGGATCACGACAGGCCTTGAAAGTCATGTTCATAGGCTCTGTTCTAAGGGCAGGAGGGAGCCAGGGAGTGATTGAGCAGGAGAGAGACATAGTGGGTTAGAAACATCACTCCAGCTCTAGTGTGGGGGGCTTCCTGGACAGGGGGGCAAAGAGACAGTATAATCAGTAGGTATAACAAAGAGGTGCAAGAGCTATAATGGACTGGCCATTATCAGTAAGTTTGGACGGGGCCTTTTTCCTGCACAGAAGCACTCCTGCCACACACTGATGTGTGTCGTGGCGCTGCATCTCCCCAAAGAAGATAACCTTATCTAATTCATCCAGACACCTTAGAGGCTGGTGGTGGCCCTTGTGCGTGATAGCCAAGATGGGTGGGGACAGGACTGAGCTAAGGCAATGGCATATGACAAAGAGATGGGGGATCAAATGGATGAGATACGGTGGAACAAAGGAATCTGGCCTTGGTGATCAACTCGATGTCAGAACTGAGGGAGGATGGAGAGACTGGGTGATGCTCAGTATCCTAGTTTAGCTCCACCAGATTTAATCCCGCTTCAATCTAACACAGGGATCGGCAAATTTTTTCTGTAAAGGATCAGATAGAAAATATGCTCGACTTTGCAAGCCCCGTGATCACTCTCGCAACTACTGAACTCTGCCATTACAGTGCGAAAACAGCCATAGACAATTTGTAAGTGAACGGGCGTGGCTGTGTCTCAATAAAACTTTACTTACAAAAACAGGCTGTGGGCCAGATTCGGCCCGAGGGCTCTCATTTGCTGATCACCGTCGCTCTGAGACATGAGGTGGCCCAAGTAAGATGACCAACTAAGCGTGCCAGGTGGCTGCTTAGTGAGAGAAAGGCTCACACCTCATCAGGTACAGACAGACCATAAAATCTCTCCTCGAATGATGCCCACCTGATCATAACCACTCATCCGAAATGGCAGAGTCATTCCGATGTCTAGTCCTGGGAGCCCAACGCTGGCAGGACGGAGGTAGACGTCACTGCAGAAGCTCAGTCCCTGTGACAGTCACAGAGGAGGCCCTGGTCTGATACTTCCACTGGTTACAGATACAACACAACAGAAACAATAAATCACCTCCACTGACTACTCACCATCCACCAGATGCTGAGTCAAGGGCTTTACTTGAATGAGCTCCGTTAATGCTGACAAAACCCCAATGAGGCAGGTGTGTACTACTATGTATCCCCATTCTACAGATGAGGAAACTGAGGTACAAAGAGATTTAATATCTCTGAGGCTTGGAACCAGGCAGTCCAATCCCAGAACTTGGATCCCCAATCCCTCTCCAGGCCCACATGGCTGCCCACGGTAGTTACGGCAAACCCACATTAGCCCCGAACATAGGACAAAACTGGTCAAATAGTTGGGAGTCTTTTGTCCTCTGGCCTGTGTGGCACTATTATTAGAAACAAGCAGTGGCGATAAACCCATCTGTTTCCAAACCAACCCTAATCAGCAGCCATATCTCTCCAGGATCTCTGTTATTGAGCAAAAGGTTGTCAGAAGCGGGTCCAGATGAATAAGGTGATATCTGAAGGCACTGTATCTGAGGGCGCGGGCAGAAAATGAGAGGAGACAGTCCATCTCCACGTGCTCACTCTGCAAACATCCACAGAGGGCTCTGTGGTCCCCCGTCCCTGCCCTCCTGGAGGGCACTGGCTGGGAGGGAGTCAGACACAGAGCAGATCGTTCAAATGCCCTGGACGCCATGCACAGTGAGGTGAGTCCAGGGGTGTGCTGGGGACACGGCAGGAACACCTGCTTTAGCCAGCGCAGAGGCACCTGCAGCCCAGCCTGGATGGTCGTGTGGGTAGAGTGGTGGTGAGGGCTGTTCCAGGGGAGAGAACAGCACCTTACAAGGCAAGGGACACTGGGGTCTGGCCGGAGTAAGGAGGTCATGTACAAGACAGGCGGCTGGAGACGGGGGAGGTCGGCCCCCAGCAGCCGGCCTGGACCACTCTGGGCTGGAGGCCGCCTCGTTCTCAGCTCCTGTCTGCAGCTAGAACAGCCTCGAGTTCTAGATGAAACGCACATTGCCTGCCAAGCATATGGTGATGCCAAGAATGCGCTGCTGATGCTGCATCTTGAAGTCGTAAAAACAAATAATCGTAAATCACTTCTATCCCATGGCCTGCTTCACCCTCACTTCCAGAGGCTTCATCTTGCTTACACTCACTGAAAGTTCGACAGTGGGCAGATATTAATATATCCATCGCCCCTGTTGTGTTATTAAAAATATTACCAGCTATCACGGGGGGCAGGGCTCACAGTGGCTAGCAGTGAGCTAAGTGCTTCTCATATAGTATCCTACTTAACTGAGAAGCAATCCGAGGCTCACAGAGGCATAATGACTTGCTGAAGGTCATATGTTCAGAAAAGAATAGAACCAGGATCCAAACCCACATCTGCCCGACCTCTGCGCCCAGAGTCTTCCCGCTCGACTTCTTTGCCTTGTTATCCTGTGATTTAAGGACTTTGTGGATTTCTGAGAACATTTTCCTCTACTGTTATATTTGCCCCTCCAAAGAACCTTCTGAATGTAGTAGATGAGGAACCTTGGCTCAGAGAGGTAAAATGTCCTCCCCAAGGTCACACAGCTTTGGAAGGGGCCAACTGGAGACTGGAACTGAGGTCTTATTATTCCAAAGCCAAAGCTCTGTCTCCTTTACCCCGGCTTCTAAGTCCACCGCAAAGAAGATGGACAGCTAAAGCTCTCCCCCTGGATGCTTCTTATTTAAAAAAAAAAAACAAAAAACCCAAACTCGTGTTCTCTTAATCTTTCCATTGGCAGGTATTCATCAAGCAATCAAAAGACAAACACCTAGGAGAGCAGAACGCACAGATCGCAGCCAAAATGACATCATAAGGAGCAGGCTGTGCCAAGCAAATCTAATTTCCTCTGACAGAGCGGCAGGCTGGGCGATAAGGCTACAGGCACTGACGTTGCTGGTGCCCTGATTCCGAAGGACGCGTTAGGTTAGCGCCACAAAAGCGGCCGGGAGGCGGGGAGGGGGCAGGTCACAGCACACACATCCACTGAGGCACACACACATAGTCACTCACAGACACCGACACACACACACAGACAGGAAGACATATACCAAAAGGCACACACGCCCACACACACAAAGACACACACGTCTCCAATGACAGACATGCGCACTGAGAGATGCACCCAAATGTGTATGCGCAGACACAAATATACCCACACACCAACTCAGATACATGTGCAGTCACTCACACACACACACAGACACAGAGACACACACAGAGATATATAGACACATAGAGAAACATAAACACACAGACACATTTGCCTGCCTCCCCTCCTTGTGCAAACACACACACACACAGAGGTGCATGTACACGTTCACACATGCACAGAAGTAGTCATAGACACACAGACGCTCACAGACACACAGACACACACCAAGACACACCCAGCACCCCTCGCTGCCAGTAGATGCCAACTCTGCTCAAAGTCCTGCTCTGTACCCCGCAAATTACATCCTTCCCAAATTGGAGACTCTGAAAACTGAGTATCTCTGGTGTCTGTGCATATTCTCAGCCCTGCCCTGCCTGATGTCATCCTCCAGGAGCTTGAAACACACCCTGGCAGCTGTGTGCTGTTGACAAAGATCGCGGACTTTGGAGCCAGGCTGGTCTGTGTCACAGGTGAGAATCTGCCCGTCACT